TGCAGCTATCCAACGGCAGCTACACACACTGAAGCTACTCCAACTCCAGAGACAGGCACTGCAGCTACTCCAACTCCAGTTTACAAGCACTGCAGCTACTCCAACCCCAGCAACTAGCACTGCAGCTACTCCAATCCCAGCGACTAGCGCTCCAAATACTCAGATTCCAACTCCAGCAACAGGCACGGCAGCTACTTAAAACACAGCAATTGGCACTGCAGCTACTCCAACCCCAGCAACACGCACTGCAGCTCCTACCACTCCAGCTACTCGGCACTGTAGCTACTCCAACCCCAGCAACACACACTGCAGCTCCTACAACTCCAACGACTGCAGCTGCAGCTACTCCAACTCCAGCAACAGGCACTGCAGATCCTACAACCAAAGCGACAGACACTACAGATACCCCAAATCCAGTGTCTGCCACTGCAGCTGCTCCAACCCCAGCAAAAGGCACTGCAGCTACTTCAACTCCAGCTACAGGCACTGCAGCTGCTCCAACTATAGTAACAGGCACTGCAGCTACTCCAACTCCATGAACACGCACTGCAGCTATTTCAACTCCAGCAACAGGCTTGCAGCTGCACCAACCCCAGCGAAAGGCACTGCAGCTACTCCAACCCCAGTTACAGGCACTGAAGCTACTCCAACCCCAGCGACAGGCACGGCAGCTACTCCAACTCCAGCAAAAGGCACTGAAACTGGCTCAACTCCAGTGACAGGCACTGAAACTGCTTCAACTCCAGTGACAGGCACTGAAACTGCTTCAACTGCAGTGACAGGCACAGCAGCTATTCCAAACACAGCGACACACACTACAGATACTTCAAGTCCAGCGACAGGCACTGCAGCTCCTCCAACTGCAGTTACACACACTGAAGCTGCTCCAACCTCAGTGACAGGCACTGCAGCTACTCCAACCCCAGAGACAGGCACTGCAGCTACTCCAACTCCAAGAACTGGCACTGTACCTACTCCAACCCCAGCGACAGGCACTACAGCTACTCCAACTGCAGCGATAGGCACTGCAGCTACTCCAACCCCAGCAACAGGGACTGCAGCTACTCCAACCCCAGCAACAGGCACTGCAGCTACTCCAACTTCAGCAAAAGCCACTGCAGCTGCTTTAACTCCAGTGACAGGCACAGCAGCTACTCCAAGCACAGCGACAGGCACTGCAGATACTCCAACTCCAGTGACAGGCACTGCAGCTACTCCAACTGCAGTTACACTCACTGAAGCTACTCCAACCTCAGCGACAGGCACTGCAGCTACTCCAACTGCAGTTACACACACTGAAGCTACTCCAACCTCAGCAACAGGCACTGGAGCTACTCCAACTCCAGGGACAGGCACTGCAGCTACTCCAACTCCAGTTACACGCACTGAAGCTACTCCAATCCCAGTGACAGGCACTGCAGATACTCCAATCCCAGTGACAGGCATTACAGCTCCATCAACTCTGGCTACTGGCACTGCAGTTACTCCAACCCCAATGACAGACACTGCAGCTACTCCAACTCCAGCGACAGGCAGTGCAGATACTCCAAGTCCAGCAACAGGCACTGCAGCTGCTTCAACTCCAGAGACATGTAATGCAGCTACTCCAACTCCAGCGGAAAGCACTGCAGCTCCGACAACCACAGCGACAAACACTGCAGATAATCCAACTCCAGCAACACACAATGTACATGGTTCAACCCCAGCGACAGGCACTGCAGATTATTAAACTACAGCAACAGGCACTGCAGCTAAATCAACCCCAGGGACAACCACTGCATTTACTCAAACCACAGTGATTGGAACAGCAGGCGCTCCAACTCCAGCAACAGGCACTGCAGTGACTCCAACTTCAGCGACACACACTGCATTTACTCAAACCACAGTGACTGGAACTGCAGCTGCTCCAACGACAGCAACAGGCACTCTAGCTACTCCAACCCCAGCGACAGGAACTGCAGCTCCTACAATTCCAACGACTGTCATTGAAGCTACTCCAACTCCAGTGACAGGCACTGCAGGTGCTTCAACCCCAGGGAGAGGCACTACAGCTACTCTAACTCCAGCGACAGGCACTGCAGGTACTGCAACTCAAGTAACTGCCACAGCAGCTACTCCAACTCCTGCAACTGGCACTGCAGCTACTCCAACTCCAGCGAGAGGAACTGCAGCTACTCCAATTCCAGCTACAGGCACTGCAGCTACTACAACTTCAGCAACAGGCACTGCAGCTACTCCAACTGCAGTTATACACACTGCGGCTATTCCAACGCCAGCGACAGGCACTGCAGCTGCTCCAACCCCAGGGACAGGCACTACTCCAACTCCAGCGAAGAGCACTTCAGCTACTCCAACTGCAGCGACTTACACTGCAGCTACTACAACTCCAGAGAGAGGCACTGCAACTGCTCTGAATCTAGTGACACTCACTGCAGGTGTTCCAACTTCAGCGACAGGCACTGCAGCTGCTCCAGCTCCAGCGACAGGCACTGCAGCTACTACAACTCCAGTGAAACACACTAAAACTCCTAGAACCCCAACGACAGACACTACAGATACTCCAAATCCAATTCCTGCCACTGCAGCTACTCCAACTGAAGCAACAGGCACTGCAGCTACTCCAACTCCAGCGTAGGGACTGCAGCTAATCCAACTATTGTGATAGGCACTGCAGCTACTACAAATTCAGCGACAGGCACTGCAGCTGCTTCAACTCCAGCGACAGACACTGCAGCTACTCCAGATTCTGTGACAGGCACTGTAGCTACTCTAAACCCAGCAGCAGGCACTGCGGCTACTGCAATGCCAGCGACAGCCACTGCATCTGCTCCAACTCCAGCAACACGAACTGCAGCTACTCCAACTCCTGTGACTGGCACTGCAGCTACTCCAAGAACTGACACTGTAGCTACTCCAACCCCAGCGATAGGCACTACAGATACTCCAACTCCAGTGACAGGCACTGCAGCTACTCCAACTGCAGTTACACTCACTGTATCTACCCCGACAGCGACAGGCACTGCAGCTGCTCCAACCCCAGCGACAGGCACTGCAGCTACTCCAAACTCAGTGACAGACACTGCAGCTATTCCAACCCCAGCGATAGGCACTGCAGCTACTCCAACTTCAGCAAAAGGCACTGCAGCTGCTCCAACTCCCGTGAAAGGCACTGCAGCTACACCAACTCCAGTGACAGGCACTGCAGCTACTCCATTAACACGCATTGCAGCTATTTCAACTCCAGCAACAGGCACTGCAGCTACTTCAACTCCGGCGACAGGCACTGCAGCTACTCCAACCCCAGTGACAGGCACTGCAGCTACTCAAACCACAGCTACAGGCACGGCAGCTGCTCCAGCTTCAGTGACTTGCACTAGAACTACTCCAACTTCAGCGATAGGCACTGCAGCTACTGTAACCCCAGCGAGAGACACTGCAACTGTTTATTCAGGGAAATCTCCAGGGAGAAACTTGCCAACAAAGTTTTCAAGCTGACAAGCAGGTATTCTTTATTGTGGCGTGGGGAGACACGGGGGATAGCTCCTCCTAACGTGTGTCCCCATATTGCTGCACAAGCCATCCTTATATAGTCCCTGGGCATACATGCATATTTATGAGGCTACTTATGGATTACATCGTTTTCCAGAAAGTTCCTCACATGTGTACAAAAATGTGGTGGTGGTCTCTGAGGGTCGTTTACTTCTTCCAACAATCTTCATCACTTCTGGCAACCTTTGAAGCATTCACAGTAGATGCTCATACCAGCTTAATTGGCTCCTTAGCACCTGAGTCATAACAATCCTCCTGTCCTCTTACTTATCAGTTGGTTTAACTGTAGCCCATCCTGGACACCTGCCATTCCCAGATACTCCTTACCCCTGCGTCCTGTTCTTCTAGGCTCTTTGTCTTAAATCTATGTCAACTATAATGGTTTATCTTGTACAAGAATTCTCAGTATGTTCTCTAGCTGTACTCTATTTTTTTTTCTATGTATCATGCACCTCAGTAATTTTCCATTGCTACTGTTACAAAGCCATAAAAGTTAACATTACTTAAAACTAATTCTACAGGTTTATAGATTCCATTTTGTGATTTTTGTTCCCCCCTTGTCTCAAATCCCCCCTTTTTTTGTGCTTTTGAAAATTCTTTTGCAACATTTTATATATTACCATTACCATTGAAATTCTTTTTGAAATAATTTCCCATTTCTACTTGGTACTTAATTTCATTCCTTTTCCAATCTTCGTAATTTATCATAGATCGTTTACAATGCTGGAGGGAACATTGTATCATACCACAAGTGATCAATATTAAAATAATTAACATCAGTATTCCTGCAACCGCTTGCCTCAACCAGGAGAGATTAGGTTTTAACTTTTTCTGTATGTCTTCAAAACCCCAGGAGGTGTCATCCATGGCCATTTCATGAAATATCTTAGTTTGTTTCCAACTTTCCTCCAGATCTGTTTCAATTCTGCCACTTTGATCTATATAGGAAGAGCAACTGTCATTGATTATGGAACAAATCCCTCCTTGTGATGCCAATAACATATCTAGAGCTATTCGGTTTTGTAATACCCCTTTAGATAGGCTAGTTACCTCTTTTTGTTCCGCCTGGATTATATCAATGGTTTTAGTTTCTATTTCCTCTATGGTTGCTGTGATATTTACAATTGCCTTCTCTAATTCATTTACTCCCAAAAATGGAATTACCCATCTCTCACAAAACTATGAAATGCGGTGTTCCGTTCAGCAATAGGGTTAAACCCTTGCTTAATTCGTTTAACAAAATTTCCAATCCAGGTCCCAGAAGGATACATGTCAACAATAGTAAGATTGGATACCACAGCACCTAAGGTGCATGCCCCCTTCCAGCTGGGAGGTGAAGTCTTATAAGCATTTTCTCCACATAACCAATACCATTCTTTCCCTTCAGGAACGGGCCACCCACCACTGAACTATGATACATCATAATTGTAATTTGAATAACGATCTACACCTGGGGCATTTAAACTAACATACTCTCATACTCTGGTTCCTGATGTAATACATCTTTGTGCACAGGTATAATATTTATTACCTGGATTAGGATTAACTATTCCAAATTTTAGCCTTTCCCTTGGATGCAGATTGCTAGTGTTCACCCACAAATTTGTCCATGAGATAGTGTTAGGAACTGGAACTCCAATTAATGGAAGGTCTGGATTTTCTCCTGATGTAGGCAATTGTGCACACACCCAACAGTCACTACGATTAAAACCTTAGTAACATTCTGCACTAATTTCAGGTATAAATTCTGGTCCCAAGCTTGTGCACCAGTTATCATGTGAGTCCAAATTATGACCGATGCAATTTCATATGTAAGTGTCCTGAAGGTTCGATTTGCCATGTCTTCTCTGGCTCTGGTGCTTCCTTTGTTCTTGAATAATGTATCCAAGCAGGTTGTTCCTTTATCTTCACTGCTGTAAAGGTGGTCAATAACATCCGGTACGGTCCACTCCACTTCTCCTGTAGAGGATCTCTGAAAAATTCTTAACATAAACCCAGTCTCCAGATCTGAAAGGGTGAATCAGATAATCCAAACCTCTTGCTCTTGTGCCTAATATTCTCTTATTTATCTCTGCTAATTGTTTTCCCAGATTGATCAGAAACTGTCAGAGATAGCCTTCTCCCGCTTCCTGAAGACTTTCTCCTTTAAACTGGGACTGATATGGTCTTCCATACAAAATCTCAGATGCACTAACCTCTTCTTTCGACCGAGGTTTAGTTCGAATTCTTAATAGAGCCAGTGGGAAAGCTTGGTACCAATATAAATTTGTTTCCTGACATATTTTACTAATCTGTTGTTTAATCAAATGGTTCACCTTTTCTACTTGCCCACTGGCCTGAGGCCTGTGTGGAACATGTAGTTGCCAATCAATTTCTATTTTTTTGCTAATTGCTAATGTAACAATTTTGCACTAAAGGGTGAACCCCGGTTGGAAGAAATTGCCGCTGGTATTCCAAAATGAGGTATTATTTCATTTAATAATGTTTTAATCACTTGTCTTGCATTATTTATCCTACAAGGGAATGCTTCTGGCCAGCCTGAAAAAGTATCCGTTAACACCAACAAATATCAATAACCCCCTTTTCTTGGTAATTTAGTAAAATCTATTTGCCACTGCTGTCCTGGATAACTTCCTCTTCCCATTGTCCCAATTTGATTTCTATTTTCAGTTTTAGGATTATTCTTAAGTCATAGCTGACATTGTTTTGTCGCTAATTGAACTATAGTATATAGATTTCTTCCTACAACTTGTTTGTTTAAGTATTTATACAAAGAGTTGCTACCCCAATGAGTTCTATTATGTTCCTCCTGAACTAACGTCCAGAGTTGGTTATAGGGAATTACAATTCACCCATCAGGTATCTGAACCCAACCCTCTTTATTTTCCTGTCCTTTTAAATCTTCAATCAATTTTCTATCCTCTTTTGAATACCTAGGTTTAGATTTTTCAATTGTTAGTTTGCCATCAGGGATTAAGGACATAATTTTAGATTGTTCAGCTGCTTGTCTAGCTTCAAAATCAGCCATATTATTTCCAGTTTCCTGATGAGAGTCACCTTGCTTATGCCCTCTACAGTACATAATAGCTACTTCCTCAGGTAGCTGAACAGCTTCCAGTACTTGTAGAATTTCTGTAGCATGTTTAATCTGTTTCCCTTGTGTGTTCAAAAGTCCTCGTTCTTTCCAGATAGCACCATGTGCATGTACCACACCAAACGTGTACTTAGAATCAGTCTAAATATTTATCCTTTTATCTTTAGCCAATCCCAGGGCTCTCGTTAACACTATTATTTCTGCCTTCTGGGCAGAGGTGTTCACAGGTAAAAGTTTAGCTTCTATTACCTGTGAACTAGTGGTAACGGCATATCCTGCCTTTCATTCACCATTTTTCATGAAGCTACTACCATCAGTAAACCAAGAATCAGCATCTTCCAGAGGTTTTTCTTTCAAGTCTGGTCGGCTTAAATATACAGTCTCTATAGTGGCCAAGCAGTCGTGTGTTAGTGGTTCTGTCGATCGTTCCTGCAAAAAGGATGCTGGATTCACAACATTAATGACCACAATTTCTATATCATCCTGTTCCACAAGGGTGGCCTGGTATTTTTAAAAATGTGGAGATAATCAGTGAGCTCCTTTCTGTTCCAGGACTGCTGATACAACATGGGACACTAGTACAGTAATCTTTTGTTCCAAGGTGAATTTGCAAGCCTCTTCAATATTCATGACAACTGCTGCCATAGCTCTTAGGTATCCAGGCCATCCTTTGCTTGCTTCATCCAGCTGTGTTGAAAAATATGCCACTGCCCTTCTGTAGGGTCGTAGTTTCTGAGCAAGGACCCCCCAAAGCTATTCCCTGTTTTTCATACAAATATAGCCGAAACAGTTTAGTCACATCCAGAAGTTCCAGAGCTGGAGCTCTCATTAACTCTATCTTTAAATTTCTAAAAGCCTCCTCTGCTGTATCAGTCCAGTCCAGAGAGCGAGGGTTTCCCTTCAACAGTTCTTACTGTTCTGCTCTTACCAGAACACCATCATTATGTACCCGAAGTCTGCACCATCCAGTCATTCCCAGGAATGTCCGGAGCTCCTTGACAGTCGACCATCTTGGAGTCTGACAAATGGCTTCTTTTCTAGCAGCTCCAAGTTCTCTCTGTCCTCCTATTATTTCATATCCTAGGTAGGAAACTCGGGTTTGGATTAGATGGGCCTTTTGTTTGGATACCTGATAAACATTCAGGCCCAGAAAATTTAATAATTCCACCGTTCCACTGGATACATTCTTCCTTTGTTTCTGTAGCAATTAACAGGTCATCCACACATTGTAACAGACTCCCCATCTGAGTAGGTGGCTTCCGTGATTCTAGTTCTCATGCTAACTGATTTCTAAAAATTGCTGGACTGTTTTTAAACTCTTTAGGTAATACCATCCAAGTTGAGTTTCCCTTCCTTGTTGACGCGGGAGTCACGGACAACACAGAGACAATAAATGTGATCAAGAGATTGCCAAATTTATTACAAAGCCTTAACTCCTTATATACTATTTCTTACATGCAGTTACAGTGATTTGGCATATTATGATTGGATACATGTCTTGAAGACCCTTAGTGACTAACATATAATTGGTTAAGCACAGGTGTGAGAACTTGACCTCGAAAGCTTGCCAACAGTCCACATTTCTCATTAACTCAGGGAATTCCAGCTTCTCCTTATCTTGCTTGCTTAAGCTTCTTCAGGCCTCTCATGGCCTTGCTGTATCTTTCAGGATTATTCAGAGTTTATGTACCAATTGTGCATTCTCCTGTGAGAACACTGTCTCCACACTTCCTGTGTCAGGATTTTCCTGTTCAAAAGCAAATAATTTTGGCTTTCTTTGGCTAATGGTAAGCATTTAAATCCAGGATGGCAAACCATTTCTGATTATTATTCAATTTAGTCAATAAATCATACGAATTAGCTACTACTGGACAAATAACCTCTGCAATTTTGATTGCCCTGAGATCTTGAACCAATCTGCAACTTTTCCCATCATAGTTCTTTACTGTCCAGATAGAAGTATTATATTCCAATTTACATTCAATTAATAATCTCTATTTTAAAACTTATCAATGATTTTTTGATTCCCTTTGATCTTCTAATTTTAAGGGATATGGTTTTATTCTAATTGGGCAGGCCCCCCTTTTTTATTTCCACTTAACAGGCAAAGCATTTTTCGCCTTACCTGGAACTTCAGATGCCCATACTCCCAGATATACCTGATTAAGATTTTCTTCTATTTCAGGGAGGTCCTCCTGTTTGCTTTTCTGCTAAATTAAAGATAAACTCAAAACTGCAATTAATTGATTGTTTTTAACTCTAAATTCCATTTTGCTTTCTTAAATGTTGCTTCTCACCCTAATAAAGTTTTCAGAGAATTTGGCATGCATAAAAATTTATGCATTCATATTTGTTTTCCCAATTTGTACTTTAAAGGTTTCAGAAAGAATGCCTCTTCTTTCTTTTCTCTTTTTTCTTGGTGGCCAGTAGCTCCCACATCTGTAACAATTTCTTTTCTCTCTGATTTAAGACCGAATAAGTTGCTCCTGTATCCACTAAAATTCCACTTTATTTCCTCTAGTCCCTAGTTTTAATTTAACCAGTGGATCTGCTAGGGTAGATTCCCCAGGTCCCTCTCAGTCCAGTTCCAATTCAGTCACCGGAGCCAGCTCATGGCACTTTCCCCCCCAGGGCAGTCTCACTTCCAGCGTCCAAACTCTCCATAGCACGCACAGCGATCCAGTCCCACAGAAGAGTCCACTCCCCCACCTCCGCCTGACATTCCTCCTCCACCAGTTTCAAAGCAACCACTGCAGCCGTGGCTATAAAACGACCCAGCTTTTTCTTTTTCACCTGTTCCCTATTCCTATACGCTCTCCATGCTTCCTCCTTGACTCCCGTCCACATTTATTCAACAACCCCTCAGTCCCGTCTGTCAACATGTCTGTTCCCACTTGTTTGCCTGCCCCAGCACCCATCCCACGCTCAAACACAGGAGAGAGCTCCCCTCCTTTCCCCCTTGGTTTCCCTTTTTTGTTTTTTCTCACAGCTGCTCACCCTGCTCTGCAGGGGCTGCAGATGCCTGCCTCTGCAACAGCACTTCTGTTTTAACCCTTTCTTAACTCTGAATGTGAATGCGCTGCTTGTTGCCAGTGACAGCAATCTCTTCTCCCTTATCAATATCAGATAGGACAGATGTAGAGGGTGCTCCCCTCTGTATGTGATACATAATTTTGCAACCTATCTTCCTGATTACTGGTTTTTAACTTTAAAAATCTTTCCCCAGTATCATAGGCTGAACAACATCTCTCCATCTTAACTTTCAGTTTTTCCCTGTCCTTTTCCAAAGCCAAAATTAAGGGATCTGGCGGAGCTATATTAATTTTGCATTCAGTCTGTCACTCCATGTGGTTTCTTAAAGTGAAAAATATATCTGCATACATTACTTCATGCCATTTTCCTTATGGCCTCAAAACAAGATTAATTGTAACAATGTATTATAGTTCAGAGTTCTATTTTTAGGCCATTTTTCCTGATCTTCTAAAGTATACAAAGGCCACTATCGGTTATAATATTTTACCAATGTTTTCTTATTTACCGAGCCCCCAGGAGACCCTCCAAGTTCTTTCCAGTGTGCCAAAATGCACCCTAAAGGACTCTTTTTCATGATCTCGTCACTCTGCTGATTTTCCATTATCTCTCACTCACACACACTAGGGATCCCACAGACACACTCCACAGAGTTACGACACTTGAAACAGAGACAGAGACTAAAATTCTATCGAACAAACTACAATTAATAACACAGTTGTAACATCCTGTCACCGATACCAAAATCACAAGACCAAAATCCTTAATGTAACAAGCCACAAAAAAGATCAAATACCAACAAGATCCAAAACCATTTCCACAAGACACCCCCTGCGTCTTGCAGGACCCAAACCACAAGAAGCCCCCAGCCCCCAGCTTTTTGTGGGTGCATACCAGTAAAATCCAAAACGTTTTCTACAAGATGCCCACTGCATCTTGCAGGACCCAAACCACAAGAAGCCCCCTGCTTCTTGTGGGTGTATACCAAACAGATGCTAGCAGCCGGGTATACACCTTTACCTATGAGATTTCCGATCTTGATTTACAGAAGGCTCCCAAACCTTGCATACGCTTACCAAACCAACCCAATTACCAATTTAGTCTTTATGCAAGATGCACTGCAGCTTATCCAACTTCAGTGACAACCACAACAGCCACTCCAACTTCAGAAACAGGCACTGAGGCTACTCTAACTCCAGCGACAGGCACTGTGGCTACTACAACTTCAGTGAGAGACACTACAGCTATTCCAACCCCAGCGAGAGACACCGTGGGTACTCCAACTCCCGCGAGAAACACTGCGGCTACTCCAACTCCAGCGAGAAACACTGTGGCTACTCCAACCCCAGCAGCAGCCACTGCAGCTACTCCAAACACAGTAACAGCCACTGCAATACTCCAAACACAAGAACACGCAATGCAGCTACTCAAACTCCAATGACAGGCACTGAAGCTACTCCAACCCCAGGGACAGGCACTGTAGCTACTCCAACTCCAGTGACAGCACTGCAACTGCTCCACCTTGAGTGACAGGCACTGCAGCTACTCCAACTTCAGCGACAGGCACTGCAGATGCTCCAACTCCAGCAACAGAGAGTGCAGCTGCTGCAGCTCCAGCAAAAGGCACTGCAGCTACTCCAACTCCAGTAACTGCCACTGCAGCAACTCCAACTCCAGTAACTGCCACTGCAGCTACTTCTACTACAGTGACAGGCACTGCAGCTATTCCAACCCCAGCAAGAGGAACTGCAGCTACTATAACTCCAGTGAGAGACACTGCGGCTACTTCAACCCCACTGAGAGGCACTGCAGGTACTCCAAACCCAGCGAGAGACACTGAAGCTACAACTCCATCTACAGCCACTGTGGTTACTCCAACCCCAGAGGCAGGCACTTCAGCTACTGCAACTTCATCGACAGGCACTGCAGCTACTCCACCCCAGCAAGAGGCACTGCGGCTACTCCAACCCCAGCAAGAGACACTGTGGCTACTTCAACCCCAGCGACAGGCACTGCAGGTACTCCAACCCCAGTGACAGGCACTGTAGCTGCTCCAATTTCAGTGACAAGCACTACAGCTACTCCAACTTCAGCAGCAGCCACTGTGGCTACTCCAACTTCAGCAGCAGCCACTGTGGCTACTCCAACCCCAGCAAGAGACACTGCAGCTACTCCAAACCCAGCAGCAGACACAGTAGATATTCCAAACACAGTGAAAGCCACTGCATATACTCCAATCCCAGGAACAGGCACTGCAGCTACTCCAACTTCAGCGACAGACACTGCAGCTACTCCAACACCAGAGACAGACATTGTAGCTACTTCAACCTCAGCGACAGGCATAGCAGCTACTCCAATTCCAACGAATATCACTGCAGCTGCTCCAACTCTAATGAAAGGCTCTGCCGATGCTCCAAACCCAGTGACAGCCACTACAGCTACTCCAACTCCAGCGACAGCCACTACAGCTACTCCAACTCCAGAGACAGCCACTATGGCTACTACAATTTCAGCAAGAGGCACTGTACCTAATCCAGCCCCAGCAAGGGACACTGCAGCTACTCCAAATCCAGTGACAACCACTGCAGCTTCTCCAACACCAGCAACAGGCACCACAGAGACAGGCACTGCAGCTGCTTCAGCTTCAGTGACAAGCACTACAGCTACTCCAACTCCAGCAAGAGCAACTGCAACTACTCCAACACTAGCGACAGGCACTGCAGCTACTCCACCTTTAGCAAGGGGAATTGCGGCTATGCCATCTCCAGCGAGAGGAACGGGGCCTACTCCAACCCTAGCGACAGGCACTGCAGCTACTCCAACTCCAGCAACAGCACCGCAGTGGCTCCAAATCCAGTGAGAATTGCAGCTACTCCAACTCCAGCGACAGGTACTGCGGCTACTGCAACTTCAGCTAATGGCACTGCAGCTACTCCAACTCTAGGAAGAGGTACTGCGGCTCCTGCAATATCAGTGACAGACACCGCAGCTATGCAAACCACAGCGACAGGCACTGCAGCTGCTCCAGCTTCAGTGACAGGCACTACAGCTATTCCAGCTCCAGTGACAGGCACTGTGACTACTCCAACTCCAGTGACAGACACTGCAGCTACTGCAACCCCAGCAACAGGCACTGCAGCTACACCAGCTCTTGCGAGAGGATGTGCAGCTGCTCCAACTCCATTGGGAGGCCATGCGGCTAATCCACCCCCACTGACAGGCACTGTAGCTACTCCAACTCGAGTGACAGGCACTGCAGCTAGTACAACCACAGCGATAGGCCCTGCAGCTACTCCAACTACAGCGAGAGGAACTGTGGCTACTCCACATCTAGCGTCAGCCGCTGCAGCTACTCTAATTCCAGCAGCAGGAACTGCAGCTACTCCAACTCAAATAACATGCACTGCAGGCATTCCAACTTCAGCGAAAGGAACTGCACTTACTCCAACCCCAGCGACAGGTACTGCAGCTACTCCAGCCCAAGCGACAGGCACTGCAGATACTCCAATCCCAGCAGTAGGCTCTGCAACTACGCCAGCTCCTGCGACAGGCACTGCAGATACTTCAACTCCAGTGACAGGCACTGCAACTACTCCAACTCCAGCAACAGACACTGCAGCTACTCCAACCCTAGAGACAGACACTGCCGCTATGCCAGCTCCTGCGACAGGCACTTCAGCTACTCCAACCCCAGTAACACGCACTGCAGCTATTCGAGCTCCAGCGACAGGCACTGCAGCTATTCCAATTTCAACTCCAACAATAGGCACTGCAGCTACTCAAACCACAGCGATAGGCACTGCAGCTACTCCAACTCCAGCAAGAGGAACTATGGCTACTCCAACCCCAGTAACATGCACTGCAGCTATTCAAGCTCCAGCGACAGGCACTGCAGCTACTCCAACTCCAGCAAGAGGAACTGCAGCTACTCAAACCACAGTGACAGGCACTGCAGCTACTCCAGCTTCAGTGACAAGGACTGCAGCTTCTCCAATTCCATCAACAGGAACTGCAACTAGTCCAACTCAAGTGAGAGACACTGCAGCAACTCCAACCCCAGCAGCAGGCCCTGCAGCTACTCCAACTCAAGTAACATGCACTGCAGCAACTCCAACTCCAGCGACAGGCACTGCAGCTACTCCAACTCCAGCGCTTGCCACTGCAGCTACTCCAACTCCAGTAACACACACTGCAGCTACTTCAATTTCAGCGACAGGAACTGCACCTACTTGAACCACAGCAAGGGACACTGAGGCTACTCCAAATCCAGTGACAGGCACTGCACTTTCTCCAACTCGCAGGCACTGCAGCTACTCAAAACACAGAGACGGGCATTGCAGCTGCTTCAGTTTCAATGACAAGCATTACAGCTACTCCAACTTCAGCCACAGGCATTGCGGCCACTCCGACTCCAGCGAGAGCAACTGCGGCTACTCCAACACCAGCGACAGGCACGGCAGCTACTCCAACCACAGCAACAGGCACTGCAGCAACTCCAACCCTAGTAACACACACTGCAGCTACGCCAACACCTGCAAGAGACACTGCAGCTACTCCAACGCCAACAGCAGGCAGTGCAGCCACTCCAACTCCAGCGACAGGCACTGCAGCTACTCCAACTCCAGCGACAGGCACTGCAGCTACTCCAACCACAGCGACAGGCACTGCAGCTACTCCAACCCCAGCAACATGCACTGCAGCTACTGCAACCCCAGCGAGGGGCACTGCAGCTACTCCAACTACAGCTACAGACACTGCAGCTACGCCAGATCCTGTGACAGGCACTTCAGCTACTCCAGCAACAGGCACTGCAGCTATTGCAGCTCCAGCGACAGGCACTGCTGCTACTCAAGCTCCAGTGAC